TGTTTAGCGCTCCGCGATGTTCATCTCGCCTGTTTCTGGGTCCGAATAAAACATCAGATCATGCACAGACTATCCTGTCTCTTTGAATTTAAATATATATTGATTCACACCGGCTCTTGAAAACCGCTAGGCGAACACACTTGCTCGAAAAAGTGCGGGGGACGAGTTTACGTGATATTAAAAGTGGGGGGGGACACATCCCCCGTGTCCCCCGCGTAATCTACGCCCCTGGTTATAGGGATAGTATAACACAAGTAATTTTTGACCTTGTGGGGACATATTTTTGGTCCCCATGAGGAAACAAGCTTATAAATCCTATACAGGATGATCTTTTTTTTGAAAATCTTTAGGGGTAGGGTTAGGGAAATAGGATTGAAATTCCAGTTCGTACAGTATAAAAATCATTACGTCTATAGAATGTCCCCACAAAACATGGAAATGCAACGTGTGAATGTTTGTGTGTGGAAGAAATACAGCTGGGAGAGATATATTAGAACTGCTCCCACATACTGAGTCTTATCTTACCTTAAGTGCCAGTGCTGATGCTCTTCCTGTCTCACCACACAGAAGGATAATCTGCGCCTGAAAGAAAGAGGAAGCACATCAATGAACTGAGCCATACATATGCATTCATACACACTCCCAGCAGGCATTCATAAATGTACTTGTGCACATAAAACACATCCATGAAACCATTTTGTTTGTTTGTTTAGTTAGATCTCAAATCTCAAAACCCCCAAATTGTAAACATAAATCTTAATAAATAATAAATGATATATTATATGATATTATGAAATATTATATAATATTATGAAACCGACTTGTTCAAATACACAGATTAATTTAAGAATGAAACAAGCGACTGTATTTTTGAGTGAGTCATTGAATCATTCACTCAACTGATTTGTTCAAAAAGAGTTTCATTCAGGAATGAAACACTGATGTGGGACAAGTCCCCTCCAAGAATCAGGCCAAATTGTCCCCCTCAGTTTTTTTGAAGAGAGAAAAAGAGTCTTAAAGCACACGTCAATGTCAAAACGATTGAGATTGCCAGTCAAATCAAAGAAGGTGGGCTTTACTCTTTACAGAAGCCGGACATGAAATCCAGTGCACCTCTTCAGTTTTAATGGTGAAAGAATGTGAGATAAGCTGTAAGTAGATAAACACTTCAAATTTGACAACCGTGTTATAATAGAAATGACCAATGGTAATACACAGTGATGCAAACAACTCAACTTTTTTGGTCATATTTCAGTGATTTGAATTGAAAATAACCTTTATCATTATCTTTTAGGTGATTTGTGTTAATTGTAATTGAATGTGACAAGACAAGAAACATTAACACAGCCGTTTTTGACATAAGATTAAGTGAATGTTTGCATATTCTAAAACGCAAGTCTCTTAATTAACTTCTTGTTTATTGAACTGTTGTAAAAAAAAATCTATATGTAATCATTCTGATTTTTGGAGGAAAAAACGGCACTCTTCGTGTGATATTGATTTACTATATGAAATGATATAAATATATACATTTTCTGCCCCTATATCTTCAATTTTGTGATCATTCTAAATACACTTCAACAGACTGAATCACGCAGTGAAAGAACGCACTCTAAATGCGCGCGTGCACTAGTCTAATCTACTAGACTTCACGGCACTCTGTCTCTGTAGGAGTGTTTTGTTTGTTTTTTTGGCAAAAAATTATATAAAATATATATCGCACACCCTGCACCAGTCTTTTCGGCTAATTTGTGCAAAGCCTTTTGCTAAACTGTCAAAACTTAATTTTAACCACCAATGCAACGATGCATTTACGAAGTATTTACCTTACCTCTACATGCTTGCAAAGGGTTGATGTCGAGATTTTATAAGCTGCTAGTTTGGTCTCCCTAGGCAAACACAGCTTACACTGCATAATAGAGCATACATATGGCCAGGGTTCACTTCATTTCCTTCGAGTTCAACTTCAGCAGAATACGACGGGGTTTCGTTTTCAGCTG